ATCTGGAACAACAGAGATATTTTATAGAAAAATAAATCACTTTTCCTGGAAACTTGGGTCCAAAATGGGATCCTATTGGTGGCTCAGCTGGTTAATAAAGAGGGACAACTACTTACTTACAATGACTTTATTACACTATATTATTTTCCAATCAGTGTTCAGGAATTCTCAATGGTGCTTGGTGCCATACCCTCAGGGACTTTAATGTTATATAAAAACACTGACAGCTCAATATCTACCTCAGTCACTCTCCCTGATCCAGCTGAGTCACCAATAGGAAAAATCTGCTTTTCACAAGAACTTGGTAACAGCAATAAGAAAATACGTAGTTTATTCCAAGAAGATATCGTCTCTCTCCCATATATAATATCTTATTGGAACTGATATGTTCCAGATATCAAGTGGAAGACAGTCTGGATGGTCCCCCATAAATATTTGATTGTAAATAAGGTGAAAGAAGTCTCATTTAAAATTCTACATAAATGTTATCCAGCCAGTCACTACATGGTAAACATGTCTACTTGAAAATCTCCCATGTACGCCATTTCTTTCTTATTGTTGTAATCATGAATCCTTTTCCAAACTTGCTGTGTTCTATTTTAAGATCTTCGTCCATTTCACTTTGTCAGGCAGGTTCTACTTAATTGATTTCTTGGTCTTGCAGAAATCACACCTGATGAATCAATGTCTTTCTCACACAGGGCCTGGTAGATTTGGACATATTTTTTTTCCCTTATTAAAAACCTGAAACAAAACTGCAGCCCCCCCCCCACAACAATGACACCTTTAAACTTTGTCATCATCGCTTCATTCATCTGACATCTTGGAAACAAAAGTGTTAAAAAAAAAATACAGGAGGTTTAATAAATAGGGAAAATGCTGTTGCACTCAGAGTGTAATTCCCATGAAAGTTTACAATAAAGCCTAAAATATGGTAAGTAGTGCACTGCAACATGGGAAAAGAGAAAAAGACAAGACACTGGAGAGCAAGTACGTATGCACACATTAATACCCAGTAGAACACTAGTTACAAACAAATATGTTTTATTTATTCAAAGGCATTTTTCGAAAGGTAAAAGAAAAATAAGCACAGATAAATTGATGTGTTGGGGCTGAGTATTTGTTCATAAATCTACTGGATGTTTGACCAGTGTGCCGCTTGAAGAATAAAATAAACGAGCTCGTACACATGATGTAGTTTTCTGCCGGTCCACTAGGTGTCGGTAGCAGACAAACGTTCAATCTGATGATGTGACCACATGACAAGAAATGTTAACAAATCACCAAAGCTGCCACAGAAGCTGCAACAGAGGACAAAATAACTAGTATATTGTAATTTAATTGGCTTTTAAAACAATACAAGGAAATGAGCCGTTAACAAGCAGAAACTGGAAATTGAAAAACTGCTAGCCTGCGGAAAACAACTCCACGCAGCAAAATATACACTGACAACATTATGGAGCAACATGAGACTTTAAATCAATTTGGAATTAATACTTCATTAAACATTAGAAATATTTCAGATGCAAAAAAGAAAGAAATCCCCATAAATACAGTTTTGGTTTCAACAACTCAATTTTTTCTGTCAGTATGACCTTATGACATCTACATGGGTATAAAACACACTACAAGAAAAGTATACTAATAAATTCACTCTAAAGATAATAACGTGTTTTATGTTGAATATCTACAACTGAAATGAAAGGGACAAACTATTTCATTTTTACTTTGTAGTGCCATAAAGACTGATTTGGTATGAGTTGCCCAGTTTTAGAGCCATCTGCTGTAGAAATATTCTTTCTTTGGATAAAATAAAACCAGATAACAAGGTGACTGCTTTGTGGTGCTAAAGATGGCTTTCTCAGAATCATAACCCAGTTACTCAAAAAAACAAAAACACACAAACCTTGTTACGAATAGTTTTTTTCTATAACTGGGCCATGACTTCTTAAAAGGAAAAGACCAGAGTATTTTTATTTGTTTTGGTTAAAGGGGGGGGAATTTGCTCTGAGGAGGCGGACATTTCTAGGGCGACTCATGCCAAAGCAATTTAGATGAATAAATAACAACACACTCAATTGGGAAAATATGTTAATTTAACTTATCTGATCAGATGCCATGTTCAAAACGTTGATTTATCCACAGTTAAATATTGGTCTGCTTTAAAAATCATTACATCATAACTAAAGTAGAGTCAACATTAACAAACATTTTTGATAAAAGGCATTTAATTACATGAGGCTTTTTACCAAGTGAAACACTAATGATGACAACTTGACAAAACGCATGAATATCATGGTAATCTTGGCCTTTAACACGCTGTTTTGTTCATTTTCAAGTATCGACTTGGGATAGTAAAGCTAAATAACTTCAATTCCACGCCTTTTCCACAAATCTTCATCACTGGTGAGTTAGCAGGTTACAAACTTCTGTGTTCCAAGCTTTATCTAACATTTCTCTTTACAACAAAAACAGCACAGTGCATCTCTGAAGTAATCCAGCACAACTATAATCGCTGATGCCCATGATGGTTTCAGTTCTTTTAAAGTAATGCAAGGAACTGCTGGCAGGTATAACATCTAGCTTACTATTAAAAGCTGACACATGAGTAAGTGCAGAGATGCTAGAAATGTTCCAGTAATGGACCAAGCAGTAACCCAGCCAGAGAGGGGAAAAATATGGTAATTACTTCATACATCGCCAGTCGCATGATGCTATAATCTAATAAACAGTGGTTTCAAAAGAATAGCTTCAAAGAAGCTGTGAACAAAACAAGCATAGTAATAACAAAGAAATGTTCATTCTTCTTTGAAGTTTACACATTTCTATGTCGTTTTAAATCCCAAATCTCACAGCAAATCACTGGTTCCTTTCTAACCATGAAAACACAAAAAGTAACATAAGAACATAAGAAAAAGGTTAAAATCCTACATCTTGTATCTCTAACTACTGATTCACTACACTTCTATGCTGTGGTTAATATTTGTTTATTTATATGCCTTTTATTTTATAGATAAAATTTTTATCATTTGAGTCTAGCCTTAACTATACACACACAGCAAATATGTACAAAATAAAGTCTGTCAACTATAGATTCACAAAAAGAAAAAAAAGCCTTTAGCAAGTCTAGGAGATGTCAGACAAGCCTCCACACTTTTTCCTTCTTCCACTATTATCCTTTTGGATAAAACAGTCCTGTGACTGGAGTTGGTGGAAAGCAGGAGACAGCGACACAACAGGGGGAGACAAAGCAGAGCTCTCTTCCTGTGTTTTTGCCAAGGGAAAGGGAGGAAGGTGAAGGTAAGTTCTCACAAAATGCAGCAAGGGTCCTCTGGAGCCTCGTCTATGCAGAGCAGTGGATGGGTGATGAAGTCACCTAGGCTCTTGTGGTGTGCATTTGCATCGAGCTGATTTGACCTTATGTAAATGGAGCTAGCCAGCACAGTGTGCCATGCTGGCAAAGGTAAGGTTACACTGTTTAAACAAGGCACTGCAGATCAAATGTGAATCACGGTGCACTTCTCGCCTTAGATAATTGCAGAAACATACTGCAGTGGCTACCACAGACGTAAGCAGGGGAAAAAATTGGACTGCCATGTCTCTAAAGGACTTGAATCCGAAGAGTCATCTTTGCCACACTCAGTAAGAACAATGTACCATCAGGAACAAGAAGCTCATGCATAAGATGGACCAAAAAAGTACTAAATGTTTTCTAGATTTGCACCTGTGATTTGAAATGATGCAGAATTTGAAGCAGATTCCAATAGAAAATAAAAAATAAGGGTTAAAAAAAGAATGTTAGATGAGAAAAATTGTTTGTTTGTACTCATATGTTCAAGTTTCCATTTATAGAATTTGAATATTGTTTATATAAGCCTATTATGTCTATTTGCGTTTCCTGAGCACCAGGTACACGAGGCCACTGATGAGAGTCATGGGGAAGCTGATCCACGCCACAACATAAGAGGAGCCGAATGAGCCTTCCTGAAGGTCATGCTTATGAAAGCTTTTGTTCTCGGCCGTGTAGATGGACACCGCGATCATCACACATAAAGCTGGGAGATGAGAGAAGAGATAAGGAAAAGGATGGAAATCATACACACGGATAGTGGATATAAGTTGCATTAGAACATTAAAAGTTAGATGTGTTTTACATACATGCCAATATCTGGATAATGGCTGTGAAAATGAATCGCTCTCCCTGTTTGATCCTGAAGAGCTGAAGGATGAAGACGAAGAAGCTGACGCAACACAATATAGTGGCAAGGATCATGGTAGCCTGGACTGCCTGCAGATAAGCTGAGGAGAGAGAAGTTAGAAGTTGTAGCATACCCAGACATACATTTACAGAGATATAGGAAGTATACACACTGTCTTACCTGCATTCACAGTGTGACTGTCCTCAATCGATTCGCAAGTGGTGTTACATGCGTACCATAAGTCACTAATAATGTTAATGCCAGGTCTTGATACCACCCACCACGCCTACATCAGGGATAGACACAAGCATTGTTAAAAAAAGTGAAATGATTTATGTTAAAGGAGTATTTATTTTCAGTGTGTACTTACATTGTGAATGGTGGCAACGAAGAGCAGGATGGCTGCAGCCAGATGAAAGAGTATGATGAAAGCTAAGACGATCAACATGACTGCCCTTCCGTCTAACTTCTATCTGCTTTTTGTCACCTGTCGGTCAAACTGGTTAAATACCCTGCAGGCCGTTTCCCCTCGCTGTTTGTTTCTCCCACTGGCTGATTGTCAGTTTTGGTGGAACCACTTCTGTATGTTTATGCTGGCTGTCAGACAGGCGGGGTTGCAGACTGATAGTGAGGAATGGATCAAGGCCGCTCACATGAAAAGAACCTGTTGGAAGCAACATGAGTGTAATAGCTGAGTAAATGAAAAAAAAGAAATGATTTCTTTAATCATCATCATCATGCATGATCGATACCAATATCGATATTTGGTGATGTAAAAATTCAGCTCGTATAGATACACAAAACAGAAACAGATGTCCCAAAAATGTGTTATATGTGGTCGTTGATAAGTCCTAGCTAAGATAATATGACAATGTTGTAGGGCTGCACGATTTGCATAAAATGAGAATGACGATTTCTTTGCTTAGAATTGAGATCACGATTTTCTTTTCCAATATAAATATTTATTGCGCTTAACTGCACATCAACTTCGTAACAGTTGAGACTGAACATAAAACAATAAATAAACATAAAAACAACAAATGTCTCACGTTTTGTTGTTGCCGCAAAATGTACTGCTTGAAATTCCGTCTCCACCGTTGCTGGACACTGCGTGTATAGAGCAGGTAGTGCAACAATAGAAACGCACTGTGTAGCGTTTGTCTAGGGTGTTGATCATTTTCCTAAATCCCTCGTTTTGCACAGTGTTGATGGGAGCCATATCTTTGGTCAGGTGATAAGTAATAGCCTCCGTAATTTCTTTGTGCCTGCGGGAGTTCGACGGGTATAGGGAAGCGCTGTATAAGGTTCCCGTTATTGATGTTTGGGTGGTTGACCGGGACGGATTTTCTCCTGTCACTTTCTCCTCATCCCTGACATGTTCTCAGTTGTTTTTTCCCTGCTAATTTTAGCATCACACGGCACAGCTTCTGTATCACGTGGTATAAGGCTCCGCCCTCGTCATTTGTTGAGCAGGAAGAGTGAGCGCTTGTTTTCATGCAGATTACGTCCCGGATCAAAATGCGGTACAATCATCGTCGTCTGTGTGTTTTTGTTTTTTTTTAAATCGTTGTCATTTGGAAATGAGATCGCACATAAGTATGAATCGAGATCGCGATTTTCTAACGATTAATCGTGCAGCTCTACAATGTTGTTTAAAAAAGTGGTCGATTACTCTCGATTACTAGTCGTCGTTGACTGTCGAGTGCAGAGTTGCAGCGTGGTGGACAAACTAAGCAAGATCAGCACTCATGGTTTGAAGGGCGTTTCTCCCATGTCATCTTTATTTTTTTTTTCATTTTAATTTATGAGCTAATATGTGCCAACATACATATAATGCCAAATAACTAATATTGGCAATGTCAACACAGTCTTTAACTGTTTATGGTCATTGCACAGTCATACCTTGTACAATAGTACAATGAAACTGGAGTACTGTCCAATATCAGCCTTCAAAGAAAAGCAAGCAGTAATTACAATATCGACAGAATAACATACATACAGAACAAAATATAAATTATGTATAGAAATGAAATGTATAATAATATAGCACTGACAGGATTTTTTTTAACTATTTAGAAAATATGTAGATAAAGCATCGCTAAAAACTTCAATTACAATCCGTCTATGTATGTTCTGTTACATTGTGTCCAAATAGCTGTCAAAGAAACAGTCAGAAGCCTCAGAGTCTTCCCTTAAATTAAAGAAAACACACATCTTATGTTTTGTCCAGCAAATCATGTGTACATGTGTGTCAAAGAAAGAGTGGGTGTTTTACACAGTATATATACACACATTTACAATGTGTGGGAGTGTAGTGTATACTTTGCAGTGATTAAAGGCCTTCATTCAGACTTTATGGCAGCGAGGACTCAGCAGTAAACTTTTTGGGGGGGGGGGGGGGTGTGTGTGTGTGTGTGTGTGTGTGTGTGTGTAAATCTGTGTTTTGTTCATTCAAACCTGAGATTAACCAACACAATGATACACAATTATCAGTTACAAATTTGATAAAAAGAATGCCAGTAAATCAAGACGCACTGCCGTGGATACATTTCAGTAAAGTTTACATATTTCAAATGAACCAAGGGCACTCAGTGTGCAGGTTCAAATACCAGCCTATTCTACTTCTTCTGCAGTGTGACCTTAGCCTTTGTAGCAGTATGATTCAAACTAAATGTCCAGAAGTGTATGGTTTCACAAATCACTGTTGACAGTCATAACAGGTTGGGTGTATCTGTTAGGATAAGACGTATTTGTGTCTGAACAGGCAGTTATTTGAACAATAAGTTACTGTGTTCTCTTTCTGCAAGGTTGCGCCTGATTTATTTTCTTTTGTTATTTTCATTAGTTTTTATTTGTGTATTCTACAGACAAATTCCTCAGAGTGAATAAAAATGTGGATTCTATTAAAAACAAAAAAACAAAAACAAACTCAAGCATACCCAGAAAACCATGTGTGAGAAAATCCAGGGTTGAGTTTTGCTCAGCATAAAAAAAATGCCTTGTCAGCATCATTCGGTTATTTGGCTGCAAATGCTCACATAACACAGGATTCCAAAATCTACAATTCAACTGTGACATTTTACAGCACAGCTTTAATGGCACTTTATAATATAATGTGTCTGCAAATGTAGGCCTACATTTCTGAAACACATACTGACTAGCATCTGCGTCACACAGTGTCACACATCAAACTCTACCGTGGAGATAACGCACATAAAACAAAACATATGATTTAGATTTCTGGAAGTGCCTCCCACCTAAGGTTCAGAAGCTTACGAGGCACAGACGCAAGCATATTTAAAAGCATGTGAGTGTACACAATCACACACACACACACACACACACACACACACACACACACACACACACACACACACACAGCCCCAGCCAGACTGTAGAGGAATTAGTCTTCCCCGCCAAAATGGAGTCACAGTAAAAACAGTCTCTGCCCACCAACAGGAAGCAGGTCACAGTTTTTGTGTGCGAGTATGCGGTTGTGTGATGTGCCAAAGGATAGGTCCTCCCTGTCTGGGTAGGGGGGAAGGGGGCACCAGGTGGTAAATAGTAAAAAGGAAGCGGGAAAATAACAACAGCCATCTAAAAGCACAGGGTTCAGGTTTCCAACAAGTATGCGAACAGCAAGGGCTTTTCAAGCCAAAAGATCATAATGATACTGTTCTGAAAATCAAACTGGAGAAGACAAAGGCTTGGTAAGACTCATTTAAACCGAGACCAGAGGTTGTGAGGAAAAAAAAACTACAAAGAAATGGAAGTGAAAATCCTGTCGCACGTGAGCCTGCAAAATGTTTATTCTCAACATAAACGCTTTGAGGCAATAAAAGCCTGCGATGTCTGTGTTTATATGGTAGTTTGGTGTCATTGTGTGTTCATATGTGACACCTTATATATAAAGTAGCTACTGTATGCCAACTCTCTCAATATCCACACAAAGTAGTGAATAGCACACATATAACACTTTATAATAAATCTGTTTCTGTAAATCTGATTTTAGTTTTTGATTTTACAGAGAAACGCTAGCACAGTGAAGGAAGCATCGAAAGACATTTGGGAAAAAGGGCGGCCAAAGTTAAAAATAAAAGATAATTTAATTCACTTCCAGTGCAATGCATCTCTTTGAGCCTAATCTGACCTGCAGGGACATTCTTTGGAGTGGAAAATAATCCCCAGACATGCACATGTGGGCACACACAGCTGGATCTTCTACTGTCTGCAGCTGCCTTCTCATCTCAGCAAAGAGAGGAGGAGCACGGGAGGAGGGTGGGATCAGAGAAGCAAGGAAGGGAACCCAATTGGAGGGAAATGGAGGGAAGGCAGAAAAACAAAAACATGAGCCTAGAGGCACATACTGAGTACAGTCGTGCAGACTTTGATGTATGCACACATACACAGAATGCAAAATCGCAAACATTTGGGAGCTGAGTTAAATATAAGAAAAACATACGATTCGCATAAGGAAAATGTAGATAATTGAAAGTAAATGAAATAAGTGTCTTTTGTGTTGGTGAGTGCTTGCACTGTAAAGATCTTCATTACTTTGACTGCCAGGCCCCGATTATCATGAGCATGATTAAAGAATAGAAAACAACACTTACTACAAACATACCCTAACATTAGCCTAATGTGGACCCTGCACTCCCAGCGACCCTAATGGGTTTCCCTCAGCGCTGATAGTAGAGTGTGAATTGTCGTTCCTCTGACATCAGGCAACAGCTGACACACAGACACACACACTATCCACATTCATGTTGCATACATTAGCCGTGATTCTTTGACCTGCTTCACACCAACACGGCACAATTTGTCACACCTTATCTATCATAACAGACAGATTTTATTTGTCTCAACTGTGAGGTGTGCGCCACCAGAACAAGTAATAACAAATCTATTGTAACACCATCTTTGTCGTGGTCATTAACAAATGTAATCTGAACTAAGATGTGATGTTCACAAGCGAAATGTAGCTGCTAAAGGGTAACCTACAGAAGTTGAATTTTTGCTGTTATGTTTTCCCTGTGAGGCTAGTGTTTTTAGAGCTATTCAAAGTGGGTTTACATGGTTTAGGGGCTTTAGTTTTGTGAGACCTTCTCAGCACAAAAAAAATGACCATGGAAAGTCTCTAGTCGGAAAAAAGAACAAAGTGAAGCTTAGCTTTTCTCCACATCAGCAGCAGTATAACTCAGGTCATTTTACAGTAAGTATATTATCCTGTGTTTTGTTTGTACAAGATGTGACAGTTCCCTTTGTGTTTAACTTTAGGAAAGTCTGGCATACGGCTAGGTGTAAGCAGAGAAACACAATGACAGATAACTCCAGTTACCTTCCCTGTCACACAGATACACACACGCTGACAAACACCACAAATGAAGCCATTCCTCCTCTCCACTCAGCCTTATAATAGGAGACTGGGGGGGGGACTCAGTCAGTGGAAGAGTGCAAGTGTGTATATGTGTGTGCTCATGTCGACTGATTCCCTTGTCTGGTGGAAAATGCTGACTTTTAATGTCCTTTTTTTCCCTCTTTTCATAAAACACAAAGCCACAGACTTAACTGGGCCTCTGCATCTCACTCCCCCGCCTCTCTCACTGTCCCATTCTCCCTTTCTCTCTACTTATCTCTCTCTCTGTGTCTTTGGCCATGGAAAACTGGATTGAGGGGAAAAAAAGAAGAGAGAAGGGATAGAAGACTTCCAGTGGAGCCCTCTGGCCCTCATCTGCCTTTACTCTTGAATACTCCTTTTTGTGTATGCACAAATATTCAAAGAAGCTTAAGCTGACAATTGAGAAACATTTGCTCATGAAAAACTCAATCTCCATGAGAAATTAAGACTCATTTTCAGTGCTTTGGTCATAGACTTGGTCATAATGTTAAATTTATATATCATAAGATTCACTTATAGCAAAGGGGAACCAAATCTTTCTGTGTGTATACGACTTACAGGCCAAGCTTTGGATTACCTTTACACAAAAGGTACACTTTCCCAGGACCGATGGCAGAAATCAAGCATTATGTATCTATAAGAGGTCTTTTTTAGATACGATGCTGCATTCTAGATGCAACTTTACAATTACTACAAGGGGAAACATTTTAGTTCATCCTTAGGGACAGTGTTTGGCTACATTTGTAGACCAAACCCTGTATATTGTGTAGCAAGTCAACAGTACTGTGCTGTTTTAGGGGGATTTAAATGACTCAAAGTCATGCAGCATCTGACTGAATTTGAAGGACACAACAAGGATTGGTGAGACTTTAAATGTCTGTGTTGAGGAGACCCAACCTGGCTTCATCTTTCAGGGACTAGCTTTAATGGGACAACACAACATTAGGCTTCAAATATTCAATAAAAGTGGTACTCTGGACTGACTGTTGCTCTATTCCTTGCCATCCATACTAAAATATTAGAAGAGTGTACAATACAGTCTATGAAATTGCAGATAGACCAGTTACTTCGGTGGTTATTTGTGTTATTTGTCTGTGAATGCATACAAATGACGTATTCACATCCCAAATAGACAAAAAGACTCACACAATATCAAGTTTTTCTGAGTACTAGTGAAGGGTAACATGAAGTTACAAAAGAGCCCAAAAAATAAGAAGAATCTGCACACATATACACAACTGTTTTCCTTCTGGCTTCAAATACTTCAACACAGGCATTCTTTCATGTTGGACGCTAACATGGTTTTTAGGTGTGTGTGTGTGTGTGTGTGTGTGTGTGTACGTGTTTTTCTTCACACATTCCTAATGTGACAGTGCTGAGTAATAACTTCCACATGGAGAGACAGAGGGAGAGAGAGGTTAAGTAACACCTGACAGAGAGATGAAAAGGAGACCTCCACTCACATCTCCATCCCTATTTATTTATATTGTTCATCTTTTTCTGTTCTTCTGTCAGTCACTTCACACTTGTTCCCTAATCGCTTTCATCTGTCAGCGACGCTTAAAATCTCTCCATAAGCCTGCTGTCTAATTCCCCTCCTATCATATGTCACTCATGTCTTTCCGCGTGCCACATTCTGTATGAGGGGAAATGCTTGTGGCTCGCTACCTCGTGTCACAAAACATAAGTGTAAGAGGGAAAATGCTTCAGGAGTTATTCTGCCTGAATTATACATCCAAACCCTCTTGCACTCTAAAACTTGACTCTGATGGGATGAAAACACACCACCTTCAATATGGTGGGATGATGGTATCCATCAAAATGCAGCCACGTTTAGCTTCACTCCTGTATTTAGCAATTTATCCATCCATTTGCTCACTCAGTGTCTTGCTTAACGCACTTGTTCACATGTATATTCCCTGTATGTGATTATTAAGAGATATGGAAACCAGATTTCGGTTCGAGCCCCGGCTCCGACAGTCTCTGTCGTTGTGTCCTTGGGCAAGACACTTCACCCGTTGCCTACAGGTGGTGGTCAGAGGGCCCGGTGGCACCAGTGTCCGGCAGCCTCGCCTCTGTCAGTGCGCCCCAGGGTGGCTGTGGCTACAATGTAGCTTGCCATCACCAGTGTGTGAATGGGTGGATGACCGAATGTAGTGTAAAGCGCTTTGGGATCTATAGGGACTAAGTAAAGCGCTATAGAAATACAGGCCATTTAGCATTTACCATATTGTGATTGCAGCATGGTCTATACCACAAGTGGCATTGAGGCTGGAGTAAATAATGCTTTGATGCCTCAGTTCCTATTTTCAGGAGCGTGTTGCAACTTGACAGAGCCCCCTCCCGCCAATTTAACTTTGCCCACGCCATCCAGTGTATCCACATTATTGCAGTTCAACTGTAACCCTCCCATTTCATATGTCCTCATATCTTTCTCTATACTTTTATCTTATTTGTTGCTGGAGCTAAAAAAAAATCTGTAACCACAGAAACCTAAAATAACATAGTCTAATGTTATTTTCTATCCACAAGAGGGCGACAGGCATGAAGAGAAACAGGGATCTACCCCATTAAAAACTTAAAGACAGGGATAAAGGCATTACAGTGTGTGTACTGCATTTAGATGGCACCCCTTAAATATATTATAAGCAACATATATAAAGCATAGTCCCGGAAACCACAACCACAGCAACATAACAGCCTTCTGTGTCATGTTGCAGGAAGCCCGATCTTTAAGTCCCAGAGTTCACAGGCGCATATTTTCAGCGTCCATTGAAAAAACCGAAAGAAAAAACTAAATGTTTATCCTCCTTCCCAAAACACTAAAGTTTCTTTCACTGGACTTAAAAATACGTTTTACTCCCACACACATTATCAAAGTGGCTGACAACGCCCCTTTTATTTCCAATGTCTGAACTTGGAGCTGAGTTACAATCTGTGTAAAAATACCCACAGGGCAAAACACGGCAGTAAGGGACCCTTAAACCCTGCAACAAACAGTAAGAGACGGCCTAATGTCCAAATACGCTTAAACAGACATACCATAAAATATATATTTTTTTAAGGTTCTGTTTATTTATATATTTTGTTGTTGTTGTTGTTGTTTTAATGTATTAATTAATGTATTTATTTATATTTTTTAGACAGCTGTCTTCTAGAGCAGTAAACACGTTACGCTGCACTTCAAACACATAAAGTTGCTCTGAGTGATGCCACAACTCCCACATAGAAAGTTCTGTTTGGCATTTAAGCGCCAAACTAAACTTAAAATAAAAGTTATCAGGAAAGAAAAGTTCGCTCACCGAATTTGGTCCAAGCACGAAAAACAACTCTTCTGTGGAAGAAACAGCCTCGAACGTGAGAAAACAGCAGCTGTCGTTCTCACTAGTAGTCAAAAAAAACAAAAAAGTACAAATGCACGTCCGATAGCCCGGCCGTCGAGAGCGCGCGAGGGAGGGAGACCTGGAGCTGGGTGTGGTTTGGACTCGATGTACTGGGAGGTCTACGTGTGCGCGCGCGCGCGCGTGTCGCTGATAGGTGACAGGAATTTGGGGCCCGGCGGGAAAAAGAAAAGAAAAGTATGGTGAAAAAAAATAGAAAGTTTATATTTCCTCACATGGCTACAGTCTGAATGAGAAAAAACAAGCGGAAGGAGTCCGAGGACAGGGAGGGAGACAAAAGGAAATTAAAGAGATAAAAGGGGATGAAAAGTGAAGGAAAGGAAGGAATGAAGAAGGAATACTGAAAAGGGGCGAGGAGCGGAAAAACAGTTGACTCTGTTACCTGTGTTTTCTTTAATTTAGATTTTTTAAGTATTCCTTCATTTTAGAGGTCAAAATATTTGTAATTGCTGCTTTGCTGCGTTTGCAGGACCCCCCCCCCCCCCCCTTGTATTCTTATCCACCTTAAACACTCCTTTTTCATTGTTGTGGTATTTCTGGACTTTACCTCCGAGGCCCAGTGTGGGCAGCGTTTGGATTTTCTGCTCATAAAGTTTGGTTTCCAAGTATAGCACTGCTTTCTTGGCGGGCTGCCACAGCTTGTTATAATTAAAAGTTCTTTCTCTTAGGTTCTGCCACGAATTTAAAACAACTGCTTCTTGGAAGGCCCACAGTTTACATCCACACAAAGAGCAATCATGAAAAGACAAGCACAGAAAATGAGATCTCCCTCTTTAAGCTCTCACAAGTCACTGCTTTGCAATCAGAATCCTGCCCTGTGTCTGTTTGCTGACAAGCACTACCAATCTCTAACACTCCAATATGTCATGCAAAAATACACTATAATGCCCCAAATTTTCACTCACCCATTTAAATCATTGAATTCAGGTGTTCCAATCACTTCCACATTCACAAACATTTTTTTTAAAGAATGGGTTGCTCTCAGGAGCTCGGTGAGTTCCAGCGTGGTACTTTCATAGGATGCCACCTGTGCATCATATCTAGTCTCACTACTAAATATTCCACAGTCAGCTATTAGTGGTATTAAAACACAGTGAAAGCGATTGGGAACAACATGAACTGGTTGGCAATGTAAAATCACAGCATGAAGTCAACAGATGCTGAGGCTCATAGTGCACAGAGGTCACCAACCTTCTGCCGACTTGGTCGCTACAGACTTCCAAAGTCCATCTGAGTTTGAAATTAGCTCAAGACCATGTATCAGACACTACTGGACTCTATGGAGACATGTTCTCTGGAGTGATAAATCATGCTTCTCTGCCTGGCAATCTGATGGACGAGTCAGGGTTTTCCAGGACAATGGTACTTGTGTGACTGCATTGTGCCAAGTGTAAAGTTTGATGGAGGGGGATTATGGTATAGGGTTGTTTTTCAGGAGTTGTACAGTTTGGGGATGGTCCCTTCCTGTTCCAACATAAAGACATGGATGAGCAGGTTTGGTTTGGAAGAACGTGACTGGCCTGCATAAAGTCCTGATCTCAACCCAATAAAATATCTTTGGGATGAATTAGAGCAGAGACTGTAACCCAGGCCTTCTCATTCAAGATCAGTGTCTGATCTCACAAATTTGCTTTTGGAAAAATGGTCAGATTTTCCCATAAACACTTCTAAACCTTGGGAACCTGGGCAGCACGGTGGCACGGTGGTTAGCACTGTTGCCGCACAGCAAGAAGGTCCTGAGTTCAATTCCACGATCGGGCTGGTGGAGTTTGCATGTGTGGAGTTTGCATGTTCTCCCCGTGTTTGCGTGGGTTCCCCCCGGGTACTCCAAAGACTGTCCAAAGACTTGCAACTTGTGGGGATAGGTTAATTGGATAATCCAAATTGCCACTAGGTCTGAATGTTAGTGCGAATGGTTGTTTGTCCCTGTGTGTTGGCCGTGCGACAGACTGGCGACCTGTCCAGGGTGTACGCTGCCTCTCGCCCTATAACAGCTGGGATAGGCTCCAGCGCCCCCTGCGACCCTGAAAAGGATAAGTGGAAGTGAATGGATGGATGGGAACTCTTCTTCCCTGAAAAGTTGACGCTGTTATAGCTGCAAAGGGTGGGCCGACATCCTATTAAACTCCATGGATTAAGAATGGGATGTCACTCAAGGCAGATGTGCAAATACTTTTGGTAATCTAATGTATTTTTGTATGGTATGCAGTTGATGTAGTTTTAGTTAAGGTTAGCATAGTTCCATTGGTCTGCAACATTCGCCTAATTTAACAGAACAATCTAGTAATTTATGTGTGATGGTGTCTTGCAAAGATGTAGATGAGATAATGAAACATAGAGGCTGTTTGGTAGATATGAGGTTAAAGTCAGAAGCTGAACATCAGAATTAACTATGTCTACTTAAAGGGTGTGGCGATAACAAGACTGCATGAAGAGATCTGGAATATTAAAGATCATGGTGCCATAGTTCTTGTTTATATTGTTGGACAAAGCTTCCTCTTGTTTCCAGTATTCATACCAAGCTAGAGGTTGGAGCGCCTTACTCATCTGTCTCAGCCCAGAAGCACAAAATGAGCATCAAGCAAGTTCACAAAAGGGTTCAAAAGTAAATCTATTCACTCATTTTGCTAATCTCAATAGGTCCAATAAATGCAAACACAGAAAGTCTTGAGGAATCATAGAAAGTAATTCAACAATCCTCATTGCTAGTTTTTCTTTTGTGGGGTGAATGAAGCCTTCAGTAATACGGATGCAAAATGAGAATAAACATTAAAAATTTTTTTTAAATGTGCTGCATAAGAGAACAGTTTGACTTCAGCAGAATGCACCTATTCATAAATGTGCTAACAGGGGCAATGCCATGTGCTGAAGAGGCATGTAAAGGTAAGATGAATAAACAGAAATAATTTCTCATTTTGTTTTACTTACTCCGTTGTTCCCACATAAGTGTTTTCATTTATTTACCACTAAGGGCGTTTATATAATGTCACACCCATCTCTAAAGGCGTATCTGCTGTGGGACTGGGTCTGCAAACAACTCTCCCATCAAGACTTGCCATTTGCAAATAATTGACAGCCTAACTTAAACCTCAACAACTATCAGGAATCCCATCTCTTGTTACCACTTCTTTTACACTCGCCAATCTTACATCGTGAGTTTAGGGCATCTTTGTCTCGCCTGCCTTGCCTTGCTGGCATAACCGCTCTGACAAGGTGGAATTCTTTCCTGTGGTCATAAGGAAGTAGTTGATAAAGACAAGCACGAGGTAATGAAGAAGGCATTGTCCGAGCTCATTGTGCAGCTCATAATTCCGTGCATTTTCCTCGCAGCCGCAGCTCGTGACTGCTGCCAGTGTGACAATGGCTGCAAATGCAAAAAGAGCTGATGTTAAGCATCACCTTCATAGTGAGGCAGCAGTGTTATGCCAGCCAGACACATGGCATTGGGCTGCTTTGTTCAAGAGCTCCACTGATTTAAAACAATAGAAGGAAATGGAGCTTAGAGGCATAACGCTAATATCCTGGTTAAATAAAGCTTCAAAGCTCATGTCCAGACAGTGTAAGATTTTCATTGAAATGAATGTGTGTTCAGGATGTCCTGGTTAAATTTACACATGGATATAATTAAAACAGAAATTCAAGAGCTTTTTGGAAGAAATTAATTGCTTTGATGTATCTTGATGCCATTATTTGTTATCACAAAGTGGGCTGGGCAGGAAAGCTGCCAGGATCGTTTTAAAATAAAGCCTCAGGTCATGTTGCTGTGTGAGAAGAAGGTTATTGTGGGCAAAGAAAACACTGGGCTTCGCTTGTTTTGCAAATAATGTATGCATATTTTTAAAGAATGCACACATAATGTGTTGTGCAGGACGGGATAGGATGGATGGAATCTGCTGTGGAGCTGATGGTGCCACATTCCAATTAATACAATGGATTATCCCTCATTTGCTGGCATTACTTTTTCTCCTTATTGGATTCCTTTCAGCAAGCGTGTCACCACAGAAACGCGCTTTTTTTTTTTTTTTTAAGCAAAGCATCATGCTACAATTTTAAGAGAGCAACTTAAAAACAATATTCCTGGATGTTTTGGTCATCTTTGTAATTTTTCTATTTATTTTGTCTGCCTGCTTTGGTTTAAGCCTGGTGAACATTTGTTGTTCATTTCAACATCCCTTGTTGCACAGCAAACACACACATTCGCACGCAGATGCACGCACATCCAAAGCCTGTGCCTGTTTAAACAACAAAGCAGTCCCATCCTCTTTAGCCCCTCAGGTGTCCGACCCCTATACCACTGCTATAACGCATAAACACACCATGCAAACTGGTTTCACCTCTCTGCAAGGTGTTGGGTGTCCATCACACATACGACAAAAATGAGAGACTTACTCATGTTAATACACACACACCCACTTACAAGTATGTCACTATGGACACATATCAGTGGCCTGCTATTGTTGTAGACATATAGGTGGTAACAAAAAGCTAAAACCCATCTCCGCCCAAAACCCTGCAGCAAAGAATGTTACTAAAGCAGAATTAGATTTCCGCTCTCTTACTGCTGCCATGTTTGTACAAAATTGAGATGTGATGTGAAGCTGTTTGGGAAGATTTGCAAATAATTTCAAACTTTAAATAAGAATACCCTCATCCACTAATGGGGTTAAATCTTAACCATCCAAAGAAAGAAGAAAAAAGTATAAAAACAAGATCCAGAAGGTCAAAAGCAGCATCTGTAGTGGTCTGTCTGGTAGCTAGTGGACATGGCATGGTTAGCTTACACCCCAGTGATAGCATGTGCTGCCATTCAGATAATGTTTTGTTTGTTTATCTCAGCAGGACAATGCCAAACTGTATTTTGCATATATTACAGCAGCGTGGCAGCAATGCTAAACTGGCCTGCTTGTGGTTCAGACCTGGAGCATTATGAAATGAAAAAATATGACAAATGGGGCCCGAGACTGTGAACCACAGCAACTGCTCTTATTCTCCTCCAGAGGAAGTGATGTAGCAACATAAAAAACATGGGACATCCCAACATTTTTGGAAGTGTAAATT